CTTGGAATAGATCCATCAATGAATATGTGCTTGTTCTTTGATAATAAAGCCATTTTCATGGATCTTGACCATGAGTGATAATTCGAGTCGGTGAGCGAGAGGTGAAACTAAAACTAACGAGGGGTGTTCACTATTGTGCAAGAAGAAAGGATTTGAAGACCGATCTTCGGATCCGGAGAAAGTGAATTGATCCTTTCGCTATTGTTACGCTTAATGAAAATCGGAAAGTTAAGCGGTAGGGAACAAATCTTCTATTTGTTTCTTGAGAAAATGAAATAAAAGAAACTATTTGTTTCTTGAGAAATGCGAAAGAGAGAAGAAAATTTCGTTAAACGAAGAGAGAGAAAACGAGTATCGCTCTAATACCATAATAAAAATATCTTTAACCGAAATTCAACTTGCATTCTACGAGTGTAGCCAACGGCTCTCTTATATACATGACGTACGTGTGTCGCCAACTAAGCTAACCAAAAAGAAATTGATTTATACTTGCTATAACTTCCTAACCGACGAGTACTAATTTCCTATACAAAATACATTACATTATACAATAGGTATATAGGAGTTTATACACCGGTAATAAAAATATACTAATTAAACCAAAAGCATTCGAAAAAAAGAGTTAACCAAAAAATAAAGAATTAAATTATAAATTAATCCCTTATGTTTTGAGAAATGAATTAATTAATTTTTTTGGTTTTAAAAACTAATTATTTAGTCTTTTTGCTATTTTTTAATTTATTATAATTTTTTATTTCAAGAAATAAAAAATAAGTTAAAATATGAGTAGATTGATGAGGAAAAAAATATAAAATAAAAAAATATTAAATTAGTCGTGATCAATATTAGATAAAAGAACTAAATAATTAGTTTTTTAAACTAAATATACAAATTAATTTGTTTCTCAAAAGAAGAGTGACTAATTTATAATTTACTAAAAATAAAGTGATTCTGCAAGCTTGCTTTCTTTTCTCGTGTCATTTGTCAAATATAGGTGTTTATCTTTTCTAATTTCTACTGGCATTGTTATGAACATTATACAAACTACAACTACATACTCTTTAGCATGTTTCCAAAGCTGAAAAGTCTTCTTCTTTTTTTACCCCCGTTTTCTGTACAAATTAAAAAAAAATAAAATAAAATAATCGCGAACAGTCCATTTTGGCGATGTTTCCTCCTCCCTTCATCTCATTGAATATGGCTAGAAACTCTACAAGAACATTGATAAGCGTTCACCAATGGACCCAAATTAAATAAAATTTTATTTATTTTATAATTTTTAATTAAAATTTTATATTTGTTTGATTTATTTTTTTATTTTTCATAAATTTTCAATTAAAAAATTAATTATTTATCTCTATCCATATTTTTAACTAAAATATTTATAATAATATAAAAAAAAGTCAAGATCAATAAATTTTTAGCTAAATACTTATTTTATAAATTGTTTTTTTCTAAATATTTTTGCCTTAAAATTTTTAATTAAAAAATCAGAGAAAAAAATAGAAGGACCAAAATAAAACAAAAAAGAGAAATCAAAATTAAACAAAAAAAAATTATGGACTAAAAAAATAATGTTTAAAAAACAGGGACCAAAATATAATATTATGAAAAATTTTATAATAAACGTTTTTAAAAAGTTTAAAAACTACAAAAAAAAAAGAACTACCGTATAGTAAAATGAATAGTGCACACGAGTCTTGGTGAATAGTGCTAATAAATTTAGGTGAAAAGTATTCCAAATAGTACCAAGTAAAGAATCGTTTTATTTTATTTTATTTTGTTAATATTGCATCCAAACTAATTATTAGTTCATATAGTATCAAAAATGAAAAAAAATAATCATTGAATAGCATTGACCATATTCAATTCAATAATTTGTATTTCAAAAAAATGTTTTCTTTCTTAATAAAACTTCCCCATCTTACCTATTTCTATTTTTTTTGTACTTTCAAAAAATAAGAAAACAAAATTAATTAAAATCAACATGAATTTATTGAAATGACTAAGTAGATTTAATGACATACAAAGAGATTAAATATATAGTCATTTGATTACTAGAAATGAATGGTCTAGAATAAAAATACATGAATTGGAATGAAAATTTGAGAATTGAATTACATTTTATTTTCATACTATGTTTGAAAACAATAATAAAAAATAGAATGAAATTTAAAATTTTTTAATATTTAATTTTCAAGACAAATAAGAATAATAATTAAAAAATAATTTCATCAACTAGATTGATAATAAAAATAAAAGAGGTGATTTTGATAGTAATGATGGTGGTCTGCGATGGAACAAGTATTAGTAATTGTAGAAGAAGAAAGAAGTAATAACAATATAATTATAACAATAATATATTTCAAAAAATTAATGTCATCATCAAGAGAAGTGACAGTAAAAAAGAGAGAGGTAATGATGGTGGCAATTTTGATAATATAATAAAAATAACGATGGCGGTAAAAAAAATAATGACATAATAATAACAATAATAATAATGTTTTTAATCACTACCTCAATGGAGTTGGTAGTGATTATGGTAAATGTAGAAATAGTGATAGTTTTAAAAATAGTTAATATACAATAAATGAAAATAATATATCATTATTTTATATTATTTAAAAAAAAATTCATTCTCGTTTTTTGTTTTTATTTTCACATCTTTTGTAAAAATAAAACTATATTTCATTTTTATACTCAATCTTATTTTCTTTCTTTCAACCAAACACCTACAAAATAAAAATAAAATTTTCATTTCTATTTTTATAATTTTATTTTTTTATCATTAAACATCACTTACGTTATAACTAGACTCCTCCTTGTACTCCATAAGGATTCAATTTTTCTGTCTCTATATGCATTGCATATGTGGCTGATATGATTTTAATTTGTAATATATATATATATATTATCTGAATAGGACAGGCTAACGTAATGATCAAAAGAATAGGTCCATTCCTTGTCCCTAAAACAGACCACTCTGTGTTATCAATCCTATCCAAATGCTTCCTGGAAGTTTCCACGTGAAAAGCATGGTAAGGTAGCTAATCTCTGCAATAATTGGAGGCACACAGACAAAAAATCATAAAAGCCAGCTACCAAAAATTCAGATTATCAACATTTTTCAACATTTTTTTTGGTACTGTGAAGTCAAAAGCCTATCTTTTCAACATATAAAATATGAGATGAATTATTGTGAATACAGTAGTATTGAAAAATTCACGGAGCCTACATGCTCAAACTATCCGATGTGAACAACAACTTTAGCATTTCTATAAATCCAATCTAGATAATGCCAAATTCCAATAATCTATAAATCCAATCGTGATTCAAAATCAAAACAAGAATACTTATTGTTTTGTGTTGTCTATTTCAGGCAAAGCATAGAAATCTTAAACAAGTAGTTGGGTAAAGCATCTCCGACAAGAAAAAAAAAAAAAAAAACATTGGTTAACTACCAGTCAAAGGATTAAAAGCAAGAATAAGAATTATTACTCTCATCCACTAACTCATGTGCATTTTCTAAGTCACTTAAATGAATAATACAAATTACTTCTTTTTACTTTTTGAAAATTTAAAATGTAGCTTATTCAATATTTATATAAGTTTAGAGTCGACTGTCAAGAACGCATAATGTTGGATTTGATCATTTACATATACAAAGTGAATTAAATAAGAGTAGGATGTCACGGATTTATTTATTAGTTTGGGCTTATTCAAAATTTTTTTAGTTTGGGCTAAATGAATAATCGTTGTGTTTGTATATTTGATGTCTTTCTAATTTTTTTTTTATAAATATTTTATGGCCATCTAAATAGTATTTATTTATAGATCAAACCATCCAGTTATTTTTATTGTGTTGGATACATACATATATATAAACCATATATATTTCCTAACTGCAAAATAGAATGTTAAAATCCTATTGGAGGTTTACTGGTATTAATTAATATCATCAACAGCAAGAGACCTTTCGCAGGCAAAAAGGGTTATGAGAGATACTGTCGTTAAAGACGAATGTGGCAAATGGAAATGCGTTATTTTTAAGAGAGAGAGATGGAGACAAGTTTGTTGACTTGTTAAAGGGGGGAAAAAAAAAGAAAAATAGAAGAGAAGAGGTAAGGAAAAAAATGCCTTTGTTTAAAGTGGAAACAAGAATGCCAAAAGAGCCTGCAGAAGAGACATGTAAACTACGTCGTGGAACGATGAGGGTTGTTGTGTTTTCAATTTTGTTTGATTTAACGTGGAAAGATAGCACGCAGTGGGACATGGGTGGGTGTACAAGATGCCCATGCTTTGCGATCTGTTCTTTAAAAGGACACTGAGTAGGTTATTATACGAATTTATGTTTTGTACTTTGGCTGTCGATGATATAATTGCTGGGAGTGTATTTACTGATGTTAAGTCGTAGATATGGCATGTGCATGTATTTACTTGGAGGAAAACACATTTCTATTTTTGTGTCACATTCAGAAAAAAAAAATCAATAAAAAATAATTTTCAGTTAACGAAAAATAATAGAGTAATTTTAAAAAAATGTTTTCTCAATTTCAAAAGAGAAAAATATTTTCCTTCTTATGAGCTGTCTTGCTCTTATGTTATTTAACTCTCTCTCGATATATTTTAACAATTTATTTCTTTATCTTCTTTTTATTTAAAATATATCATATTAATTTTTAATTATTCCTCATCAATTATTATTAATTATTTAATTATTTTTCTATATCTTTACTAATATTTGATTTTTTATTTATTTATAGATACATTAAATATTCTTAAAAATTATTTTTACATCTTAAAATTATTTTCATAATAAATATTTCAATAAATTATATATATATTTTTATATATTTTCTCAAACACTACCTAAGCTATAGTTAAATGATCGAAAATGATTATTACAAGATTATAATTTTTTTATTTTCACCTTAGCTATATCAATTTATTTATTTATTTATTTTGGCCAAATTACTAATGTGAACTTTATATATCAGTACTCACGTAATAGCCCTTTGAATGTATGAAAGGTGGCTACTGTAGTAATCTACTCTCATGTTATCCTCGAGTGATAAAGATGCTTGATCAAGCTCACTGACTCCTGCAGAATATTACAGTGATAGCTCGTTAGTGCCCAGAAAACCTTTTGCTTCTTCTGCGAAATATTAGGCATTAATCCTATAGTGTTCAAGCATTACCATTCTCAGTGATGTAGATCACAGGATTGTTAAACTTGTATTTGGTGTAGAGCAGTAGGTCTTCAATTCCTTTTGGATATGCATAAAGTCCTTCTGACCCAACCTGCAAAAAGTTGGCTCATACCCAACAGAAAAATCAAGCCCATTAAACATCTTTAAACCTTGCCAAAAATCCATTTCTTATGGGTTTTCAGAAATCTTCATTCTTAGGCATTTCAATATCTTTTGGTACGTCCCAAAAAAAAAAAAAAAATTATAAAAATATTTTAAAATCATTTTTCACGTTAATAAAGATTTAAATTTATTTCTTAGATAATTTTAAAAGAAAAAATACTTTGATGAAATATTACCTTTAGACCAATTGGAATTCCATTTCGTTCACCTGATTCAATAAATGATTTCATATGGAAATGAAAATTAGAAATTCATGTCTCAAAGAATATTAAAAAATTCTGGTGAATAATAAGAAATCAAACAAGGAAACCCGTTCATATCACTTACTTGTAAGGCTAACACAATAATCTGTCGAATAACTTAAGTTTTCAGTTTTGCAAGGAATATCACTTGCATAATTTGAAGTATAGTAATTTATTCCAATAAAATCTAAAGATTCTTTAAGCATCAAGGCTTGTTCTTCAGAAAATTGAGGCAGTCGTTCGTGAACATAGGTGACCATTTCAACTGGATACATGCCAGATTTTAGGGGTTCCATGAACCTTCAAAAAGAAAATAAACATCAACACAAACTGGTAATTAGGAGCCATCATATTGGTCTCTCATAACATATTATGAACTTCAATTTCAACCCAAAACATAAACATTAGGACTTTGATTGATAAATATTTTGTTTTGAGATTAAAATTGAGAATTGGAAATATTGTTAGGGATAAAATTTTAAATGTTTAGTGGGCGAGCCTTACCAGTCATTTTGGAAAACGAGGGCACGAGATGCTGCAATGCGGTCTGTAGCGGACTCAGTCGATGGCAACATCCAATTTGAATTTAATGTGAGCCCAATTTGACCCTTTTGAGCAACCTTAACAGATGATGCATATGCCTCTTTAGAACATCCAAATTGTAGCATAATTTTAAATCTGATTTTTTTTCATTTTAAATAATTAATAAATAATTATAATTATAATTATTATTTTGACAAGGTTGGATTTTCATCGATTTAGTCCCCAAATTTTAACAAGATCATTGACTTATCTGGTTTAATTATAAGCCCAATATAACTTATATTTAGATAGTTGAATTTTCGAGTCAATTTTTTCAATCGAACGAGGTTTAACAACTATGATCAATAAAATTGCACAATGAAAAAAATTACACGAATTAGTGTGCTGTCCAATTTCTAAATTTGGACAGGGAACAAAATCATTTGATCTAGGAGTGATGCGCTTAATTATGAGTCAGTAATTAATCCTCCCCTATTTCTTAAACCTGTCCTTGATATAATTATGAATTTGAATTTTATGACCTTCTGCTTCTGATTACAAATACTATCAATGGCACTCTAACTAATAGATTAAATATAAATAAAAGATGAAGAACAGATTCATGCTCCCCTTCAAAATTTGGGCAAACAAAAGTTACTTGGTACGTAGTGCGGCTCAACAAATATATATGAACTAACCTGATAGATGTTCCTAAACCTTTTGACTGCAGCTGCATGGGCAAGAAGCATATTGTGGCCTACTATATTCCTCTTCAGTTGGTACTCACAATTTCGGAGCTCAAAAAACCACCATATTCCTCTTCAAGGGCTTGTGGAACATCCCAGTGGACTAAAGTCACAAAAGGCTGGATTCCTGCAGTATATATGAAATATATAGTAATATGTACAAGTCCTATCATGTGTTAATTAGATATCAATTCAAAATAGGAATCATGCAGAGTGAGAAAATTGAACTCTGACCATTTGATGTAAGCTCATTGATGAGATTGTTGTAATAAACTATGCCTTGATGTTCAATGCTCCACTAAGGTGCCCACCTATATAAACAAATTAAGATCTTGAAAACTTTTACAAGTACTGAAAACGCATTGCCGCGTTAATTAATGAAAAAATATGGTGGAAATATCAACTTACTAGGTACCAACCTAGACCATGAGATGGAGAATCTGTAAGCGTCAAAACCTAAGTCCTTCATTATAGCCACATCTTCCTATCAAATTTCCACTTCTATCAGACCAAAAAAAGGAAGCGGTCTCTAGCTAGCTTCCTCGCTTTGCATGAGAATAACCAAACAACAAGAGCAAAAGAATGGTATGATTTGTATAATGTAAATAATTGTATACCTTGTAGCGATGATCTGAGTCAACTGCATTGGCTCCATTATTATGGTCCTTAATCCTATCTGCAACAGCAAATTCCTTTCAAATTAGACTCTTATGTCTTTGATAGTATGTTATGGTTCGAAAACAGTGTAAGGGATGAAAGTGAAGTATTCTATAATCAAATAATAAAGTGAAAAAAAGAAGAAGGAATATATAGAAGGAGAAGAAACCTCGTAAGTGTTATTTTGCAACTTCTTTAAGTTCCTAACTATTCCTTTCATTGTTTAGGTTATAGTTGGAAGTAGTTGAGAATAGTCTTGCATATGACCAACAAAACAACAACACTTTACTATGAAATCTAATGCATATATACTATAGGATAATACTACTATATGTGTGTGTGTGTGCGATCATAGCCAATAGGCTTGTCTTCCTTGTTCATGAATGTAATAAACATGCAATAAGGAAGAAAAGGAGGGAGAAACCAGGGTATTTTTGAGTGAAGGTATCCCATATACTTGGTCCTTTACCGTCTTCATTTGCTGCACCTTCATACTGAAAAATCACACATAAAATTGATATATAACCCCAACATTAATTACAGGACAATATAGGAACATGTTTTTACAAATGTCCAAAATTCAATTGGATTGGTTCAATTAATTTCTCAACATGTGGAGTCTAAGAAATTAACAGTATCACAGAAACAAAAACTAAACCTGATAAGCAGAAGATGCAGTCCCGAATATAAAACCAGCTGGGAAGTTGCTACGATTAAGAGCAACCAGGTTGGAATCCTTCAAGGCATCTTCACTACTGTGAACCACTGACAAAGCCAATAAAATGAGAAACAGGTGAAGAAGGCCTTTAATTTCCATGGTGATTAATTGCCTTTTGTTATAGAAACATTCCCTGACCTCCTTTTACATATATATATATATATATATATATATATATATCAGGAGAATGCCAAGGACGTGGCATCTTCTCTTTTGTATTCTTCATAGTAAATACCTTAATTGCCATCTAGATTTGAGGATAATGAACAGTTATCAGGGTTGATTTTGGTAATCAACCTGTATGTGTGACTCTTACGTGCGTGATCGTTTTCTTGCATTTTTATTGGTGGAGAGTGGGATCATCATTTTTATAGTGAAGAAAGAAATATCTACTCAAAGAAAGTATTGTTGCTTGAGGCATTTTCCAAGAACAAGTTTCTTTGTCCTAATGTATTTTAAACCAATATTTATTAATACGGTATAAACTGAATAATCATATTTTAAAATTATATTGACGAGTATTTATTTATTTATTATTTATCAACTCATTATTTCATATGTATTGTAAATAAGTATTTATTAAGTTAGATAGAGTAAATAATCGTTTCATATTATGTCTCTTGTCATATCTAATTTTAAGATATTTAATGAGTGTTCTTGAGCTACATTAAAAAAATTCATCTAATCTATACCCAACCCTATATTTTTATTATTGTTTTGATTATTATTATTATTATTGTTAATACCTATATAGTTTTTTATGAGTAGATTTACATTCTGGACTTGCTTTTATGGATTTTTTATGTTTTATTTAAGGATTTTATTGAATGAATTTTTAGGATTTGATTTTATGTGATTTCCAATAATGATGTTTATTTTTATTTATTTTTTAATCTCGAGTTGGGTCTGATACCTGATCATACAAGTACTCTGTGGGAAAACAAAATTCTTCGTCCAATCCGACCCGTTCAAATCAGATAGATGAAGGATAATAAGATATAATAGATTGCTAAAAACCCTTTCCCAACTGACACTTTGTCATCCCTAATTAAGGGGCTTTCCCTTCCCTTCATGGGCTATGGGGCTGGATCCACCTCTCCCTTTGTTTTCTATCACTGGTCAATTGGAATTTGACATCTGCAACTATGTCTGAATTGGCAAAAAAGCTGTCAACTTTGAACCTACCCATTTTCCCAAGAGAGAAAGTGAAGGTCACAATCCATATTGCCAGCATAAATTCCAACGGCTTAAACACTCATCTTCGGCGTGCATTAAATGGACCTAACCAATTGTAAACAGTCCTTGTAAAAATGATCTACTATAAACAACTAGATAATACAATTGGTGCTTAACAAGGTCATATTCATGCACAGCATCATCATCTGATTTGAACAATGTTAATAAATTTCTATATGTGCGACTAAAAATAAACGTCCAACAAATGTTCAGGGATTTTTGTTGGTATAATCCTCACTGCCATTATAAGCTCCAAAAAAATATTCATTTTTTGGCAGGAAAGGTTACCTTAGCTTGATCTGTCCATGAAGAATTAATATCATTTAATTCTGTCTCACAAATCTAAGAATATTTCAGAGGGTGTTAAATTTTTAAATCTTCTTCTTCTTCTTCTTCTTAGTATTTGTCCTTGAAAATGGCAAAAAGATCACCATTGATAGCATTCTTCTTGAACTTAATCAACACCATTTTCATCCTGTCTGGTCTAGTTATCGTGTCATATGCGCTATATTGTTTATTGAAGATGAAAGCTGAAACACTACCTCGTCCTCATAAGAAGCATGAGATTGCGAGAGCACTGCTGGCTTCTCATCATGATATATCCATATGGTTGTCTTATAAACTTCCTTCTGCTTGGTAAGCCAATCAATTAATTGTAAGTTGTCGAACAAGTAATGGTCCTTTATAGTTCGTTTCTTTCTGGATCCTTTGCCATCTCTAAGTTTTTAGTTCTAATAAATGTGGGAATTTTCTCTATTAGATCTAGATACAATGGTGAGATATGTGAATCAAAACTTAATTTCCATGTTAACTTTACCCTTCTAGGCAAAATTCACGCAATATTTGTTTTCACAAATTTGTCAAAAAAAAAAAAAAACTTTTGCTATCATTTTGGTCTATTAAGTCTTTGTATTTTTTATTTTAGCCAATTGAATATAATTTGTCAAATTAAAAAAAAAAGCACTATTCAATAAAGAGGATGAGGATGGTGAAAGGGAGTGATGATGTTAAAGGAAATGAAAGAAAAATTGATGATAATGACTCGAGTTGTTAACAAAAAAAAAAAACAAACTACTTGATCTGTTGAAATAAATTTTCAATTCTGACAAATTGTACTCAATTGACTCAAATCAAACAATAGAGGAATTTATTTGACGGAATCGATAATAAAAGAGCTCTGTGATGAATCGGTGGAAATACAAGATGCAAATAATGAATTTAGCTTACCTTCTTTGTTCAATTATTAGTTTTATAAAACAATTTTTTTACGGCCGTCCAGCTTTTGGCATCTATCCTACAATTAGTGTAAGATATCTTGTCAAGGACTCAGCTAATTAAAAGTTATGGTCTGCCATAGTATTTTGTCGCACCTCTGAATGAATTTCCTTTTCTTCCTTCTCTCTAATTTTTTCTTACAAAAATGTATGTTATATCTAACATTTTCAGGTTTATTTATCTTCTACTAATCGTCGGAGCATCTCTCGTCATCATTTCCTGTTTCGGATACATAGGAGTTGCAACCAGGAGTCCATGTTGTCTGTGCTTAGTATCCTCAAGTAATTTTTAGATTTATTTTGACGTTTATGTCGGTCATTTGCGCCAAATCTTTTCAGAAAATTTCAGTGTTTGTTGAGCAATTTCTTAACAGCTAGTAGTATTCTTTTCTCCTCATTGTGCTTTTCGTGGCTCAACTTGGAGCTGCTGCGTTCATGTTCTTTAATCACGAGTGGAAACAGGTAATAATAATGCTTTGCTCTTTATTAGCTCCTTTATTGTTCTGGTTGAACTGGAAGATTGGTCTCTAGACCTAGTACGTAGTCTGTAAAAGGTCATGAAAAAAATATATACATATTGGAAGCAAGGTCCAGGTCTTCGGTTATTCAGATCTCCATAACTTGCAGCATTTCCTACAATGGTAATGCACACCATGGCATCAGGAAATGATTTCTGATGAATTCCAATCTTATTCCTGCTCTTTTGTTTTCTTTTTTAGGTCACTGCTAAACTCTCTGATCTACAGTTGCTAAAATACCACATTGCAAATTATATTTGGAGAACCTGATGCAGGACTTTATCTTTTAACACAGGATATTCCTAATGACAGAAGTGGCAGTTTCAGCTCAACCTACCACTTTTTTTCCAGTAACTGGAAAATCACCCAATGGGTTGCCATTGGCGTACTTGTTCTAGAGGTAATATATATACATATATATTGAAAAATTAATTTAACTTTTGTGTTTGTGAATAAATTGCATATGTTTTTATAAAAGTTGTGTTTGATTTTCTGTTTTATTTATTTATTTATTATTCCTGTGATTTTCAATGGTTTTTGATCTGTTGGTATCAAAACCATTCAAAAGCATGAATAAAAAAAAAAAAAAAGTATCAGTTTGATGTTTTTTCAGTCTAAATGTACGCTGAAATACACTTTGAAAAACAATTCTCCAAACACAATATTATCAAGCACAGCCTGGCCTTTGAAGTATTAATTATAATAATTATACACATTCCTTTTATTCTTAACAGGCCATTACTATAGCGTTGGTTTTGTACTTGAGATCTGTGGGCAGAGTTTCAAATCACTCCGCTTACCAGAGAACCATTACTTATCCTGATGTAATGAGGCGAAATTCTGAGAAGAGGAGGAACCCGGCTGGTGCTGCACCCCCAGCCACTGCCGCAACCCCAGGTACCGGAAAACAGGAGGCAAAAGTCATACCTTCTGGTAAAGCAGTAGGAGGAAAGTAGACAGGATAAGCTGAGAGACTTATTTATGCTAGCTATCATTTTATCCTTAAATTAGCGGTGCAATAGAATGTCTCACTGAGATTGAATTGTGGTTGTTTCTTATAAAACCACAAGAGTAAAATCTACAAATGTTTTCTGATATGATTTCTGATCCAGCGATTTTGCTTGATCGATTTAATTAGCACTTCCATTATTATTATTATTATTTTTTCCAAAGATAGGAGCCAGTACTGATTTCAGGTCAAGAAACATTAAAAAATTATATACTCAATATTAACAAAGAATGTAATGATAGCTCTAAGCGGTGGGCTTCATGGTTAAGTAAATTTGCTCCATTATTAACTTCTTGAAATCGAACTTTTGGGACCAGCAACTGTGCCCTTAAGATTCTATACAAAGAAATGGATTTAGTTTTGCTTGATGCATCGACTAATTCAAAAATATCTTTTATTGTCAAAAAAACTAAATGCTTTTTAACATGTAAAAAAAAAAAATTTGACACAGTCATTAAATTTTTTATCTCTATTTAACGACAGAAATAGTCAATTAGCAATGATTTTGTAATAACTATGAAACTTTAGAGACGATTGTTTATTATATTTTAGTGACGAAAGAACTCTTTTGTTGCTAAAAAAATAACAAGTATGATTGTTGCTATAAAAAGTGTGTTATCACAAATCCGTCACTAACGACAATGATAAATAACGATATGTTATGATAACAGAAAATTCCATTGTTATTTTTTAATTTTTTTTTATAGAGCGTTACTTCCCAAAGCAAGCGACGCATTGTCTATTTTTTTTTTTCAAAAAAAAGGGTTTCGTGGGGTTTGTTTTTGCAGGTCCAAGAACGCATGCCTTCTTCTTCAAGCCTAAGGTCATAGGCTTGCCTTGGTCTTTTTCTTATTCTAGATTGTTTTTAATGTTTTTTATTATTGAATTAGGTAGAAAAATTATAAAAAATTAATCATTATATTTTTTTAGAGATCTGAAACTGGACCTTGAATTTTTGTTGTTGATTTCAGCAATATTTCCATCAAACTCAAGTTTGTCAAAAGTTGTAAGCGAACGATTCATTATTTCCCCCTTGTTTTTTTATTTTTTTAATTATTGAATAAGGTGAGAAAATTATGAAAAATCATTCATTATATTTTTTTGATTTTTTACACGGGTTGATAGTGATGAAATATATGTCATATATTGTCGGAGTTTAAATTAAACATATTATTAGATTATATTATTCTCATTGTTTAAAATTGATTTCTTCAATTTATCTATTTTATAGAAATTCTTATTGAATTAATTTTATATATCATTTTATTATGATTTATTTTTCTTTATAAATGGATTTTCAATAAAATTTAAAAAATTGATTATTTTATTTTTTTAATATATTGATATAATTTATGTGATGAATTTTTATGATTTTTAAATTAGAGTATTATGAAATTAAAAATGTATTTTAGATAGTTTGTCTCATTTTTTTTTAAGAAAAAATTAAATAATCAATAAAAAAATAGAATTCACGTGTTTTGTTTGTTTTTTATATATAATTAAAATTTATCAAGATCAATTTTATAATTATTTTTTATTTTAATCTATTAACTTCAATATATGTCTTATAACTTAAGTATTTTTTTAATATTTTTTTATTTATGTTGCATACTTTGAACCACTAAATATGATCATGATGTATATAAAAAAATTGAAATCATTGATTTTTTAATTTTGTAGTTATTTGTATTTCGATTTATTAACTTCAATATATTTCTCATAACTTAAGTGTTTTTTTTAATATATTTTTATTTCTATCGCACACTCGAACTACTAAATATGATCATGATGTATAAAAAAAATATTGACACCATTGGTTTAATTGAAAATTAATTATATATCTACGCATATAATATCAACCATTTGCTATTAACATTTTTTAATATCCAAAAACTAATTTTTTCAAATAAAATAAATAATATTTTAAAAGAGAACCACTTAAAAATTCAAATACAACTTTTGTTTGTTAATATTATTGGTTGTTTTGTAAATAAATATATATAAATTAAATGTACATATTTTTTTAAAAAAATCTTATCATCAGCATTAAATGAGAATGAAAAAAAACAATATGTTATTTTTTATACAAATTTTTATATTAATTGTTATTTTATTTTTTTAATGTAATCTTATTAAAAAATATTAAGATATTTTTTTAAAAAAATTAAATTAAATTTTCTATTTGGATTATGCAAATTTTTATTTAAAAATCAATGTATTCAAAATAATAATAATAATAATAATAATAACCAACCATGTTTTTTTTTTTTAACTACAAAAATTATGAAAAATAAATTATATGATTTTTTTTTAAATTTAAAATTTAATATATTTTAATAGACATGTAATATAATAAAAGCCATCAAACTAAAATATTTTTTTTCAAATTATTCCATTTGCAATGTAACATGGGCAACCAACTAATGTTAAATTCTAAAATATTAAGCAGTATCCACTTTACAAGTATACTGTATCTCCAATCAGTCGAGTATATATAAATATATATAGAGAAATCACATCCATACGGCTACAAAATGACGAACAAAATGATTTTACCATGTATGACTATCAAAACATAAAAAGCTCAAGAGCGGGCCCAAGATGCAAAATCCCAGTATCGTCAACGGTGCAACCAGGAAGGCAGGCACTTTCAGAAGTAGGGAAAAAGAAAACAAGCATGGGATTGCCCCGTCAATCTTATACAATCTTATTACTAAAACTTTTGACAAGATCCAATGCCCCTATCGAACAGCTTCCTTATCTTCCATATGTGGAAAAGCATGAAATATATTTTCTGCTGGTCATTGCCATAGTCAAACAAACTCTGCCCTTATAACCGCTAAACTGTAACCCTCAAAGTTAGGCCCTGTAAATTAATTCCAGAGAGGCAAGAGAGAATCTTAACAGATGCTCCTTTCAAAGTTTGCTTGTGGAATTACAATTTGAACCAGACTCTCAATTATTCTGCAATCTCCCCATCTTCCAATTCCTCTTCCAATGAGAAAATTCCCCTGGAAATAGAATGATCATTCCTCTCTTCTTCTTCCTTGGAAAATACACCCTCCAAATCAAGAAAGTCATCAGGATTAATTTCTGCAATGAGATCCGAGTATGCATCCATCAAACCTTGATCAAATTCGAATTCCATATTCTCAAAAGTCCCTTTGCAGTTGGAGCTGGAATGTGGACCATTAACTGCTGTTTCTCTCTCAAGCAAAGTGCCATCAGATGAGTCATCTAATGCTTTCACAGAAGCATTATGATGAGGTATTTGATTTGGTGGACTCAAAATTTCATTCTTCATCAAATCATAAACTTGCGGATCTGAAGAGCCATTATTGGCATCTTCTATTTCCTCTTCCTTAAAGACAATGCCTTTTGGGCTTGGGCATTGATTGCTGGCAGAATTCTTAGCATCCAATCTAAGATTGAAAAAACGAACATCTTTGATAACTTCAAAATCATACTTGTGTGATGGAAGAAAAACATGAATAACAGGGTATTCCATGATAACAACATTCGCTAATTGCTGCCTTAAAGAGGCCTTGGTGTCAAGCTCGCAGAAAGGTGACTTGGGTCCCTGAAATAACAGAAACTTGAATGTGAAACATTTGGTTGACACTTGACATAGTGAAACAAAATATGCACGGTTTAAAAAAAATCCATCTTCCTCGTGCAATTTCAATATCTTTAGACATAAGGATAGGAGGTTAAACCCATTCAAACAAATACAAACTTTCATAATAGATTACTTAAATAATCACACCATTAAACTCTACGGAACACAAGAAAATAAAAGAACAGATGAGTAAAGCAATTCTTGCATACAAAAGGATTCACATCTGACAAGCATACCCTGGAGCTAGATTAATTGAAAATACCTTTGGAAACTTGCGAATGAAAAACTTGAGAGACTCCAAATGCTCCTCACAAAATTGCCTTAATGGATGGTTCCATGGTCCAGGTTTCAAGTGCTTCTCAATTACAGAGAAAAGTTTAGTGTCTTCATGTACACTGTGACAAAAATTACATGCCTTAGTTCTTCATGCATCTCATCCATCCTAGATATAAACAGCACTGACGAGGAGGGAATTCTCATTAAAGATGGTCAGACACCTTACCCGTGGTCATGTAAAACAACATCAGTTGAGTGAAACTGCCACTCAATTGTCCAAGAGATAGATTTCTTTCTGAAACAAATGATCAGGAAGGGATATTTGTTACATATTAAAACTACGTAAAATGAACCACCAGCACAACTCTTCAAATCAACAGCTTCAATAGACAAAGGACCTATTTGGTTGTGGAAAAGCTTCAAATCAAGAATTTACATATTTATTTTCCTAAAGAAAACAGAAATCAGATTCTACGTTCAAGCAGAAGATAAAAATCCTCGTTGGCAACTTCCAAGATTTAGGCCGTTTTGAAAAGCACCTGGAAGATACATTCCAGTACTTTCCCCATAAACTACTGCCTGGTTTTTCAGCACTCTATTTGAATAACAAAATATTTCAACCAGATTTTGGATTATAAATACTTTTGCAGGATAAAAGTATTCTTTGACATTGGGAATTTCAAATGAATGCACTTTCTACTTTGCCATTGAAAAGGAAAACTACATTGAGGAAATAGGCAAATATTCTTGCAATAAAAACGGGGCCCTAAATTCCACTTCAGTCTGAAAATTGAGAAATAACAACATGAAAGAAGGAAGCAACTAAAGTTGGTGAGCTTTAGCTCCAAAAGAACCTCTGAGTAATAATAAAAAAGCAGCAATTTATTTGAGAAAAATAACTCAGCTCAAAAATTTATAACATCAAGAGAACATAAACACAAGGCAAAATGAGAACATAAGAGAAAATAAACATAAGGCAAAATGAAACCAAAATTTTCACATAACAGAATATCAAAGGCCAAAAAGACCACTAAATGAAACCATTGAAAGACGAATTCAAACAGGCTAAGTAATAGATAAATATCAGCAAGATTCCAAAAGGTAAGCTTTGACCAAAACGAACCTTGGGTCATATAGAGTCTGATTCTTTTCCCTCTTTGACATTCCACTTGGAAGAAAAAGGAGCTTTGTTCTCCGAGTTGCAGCAGCATGTTTAAGGCCCTGAAGGCTAGATGGATACTTAAAACGAGGAGGATAAGGATGCAATTTACTTCTCGTCCTCCGAGCCGATTCAGCCACCCTCTTGATTTCCTCAAGCAAATTATAATCTGTAGCAAATAGCATCAAAATCTCCGAACTTTCATTAAAAAAAAAAAAAAAAAAACAAACAAACAATTCACCTAGGCAAACCAGCTAAGAAAAGCACCAATCCAAAGGAGCTCTCAAATCAGCATCCAATTTTGCATCTTGATTGACGACAATCACCCAAAAAAAAAAAAAAACACAGAATGCACAAATTTCAAAATTATAATTTATAGCCCCCAAGGTAGCAAAATCCCACAAAACCATCCATCCAAAAAAAATAAAAAACTAAAACAATTCAACCCAAGATGGAAAATTTACAATTCAACCACAAACAACACTCAAAGAAGCATCCTTTCATTGAGGAAAAAAAAAAAACAGGGAAAAAGAGAAGTACCAGATAAGAGGAGATTATCATCGAATTGAGAGAGAGGGACAAAGTGGGTCTGGCTCCGCTTTCCAGTACAGGAAGTGCGTTGCTTGTGAGCTTTGACACAATTGAGGCTGCAAGAGCGCACAGAGCAACCTGGGCATTTGTATTTTGATGGGTTTTCTTTGCATTGTTCGCATAATAAAGTTTCTTGCCTTTTGAGGTCTGAGTTTGATGAAGATGGCTCCTCCTCTTGATGCTGGTTCTCCATTACAGAAAGAGAGAGACAGAGTGAGAGACTTGGGGGTCTTGTTGAGTTGAGGGAGTAGGGTTTAGGAATCAGGAGGCGTTGGGGTTTTAAGACCGGTGCCAAACAAATAACGATGAACGGTAAACTTCAATTTCACCCCTATAGAGTCATAGATATTATATTTCTATTTTTAGAGTTTAAAATTGATCAATATTTCCTTTCTAGTTTCCAGGAAAGTTTCAATGTTACCCCTAATCATTAAAATCCTACTTTTGAATTTTGGATTTGAATATTTTTAGGTTTTTAAGCATTTTCGTGAGATATTATGATATACCATTGAAAAAAAAATTATAAGATACAAAAAGTTTTTAAGAGATTTTGGATATGTGTTGAATTTTTTAGCACAACCATAAAATCTCAAAATCTCTCTTTATTACGTAGATTAAATTTTACTTGGATAATCAAACCAAATCAAGACTCGCGTAATATAAATAATCAAGACAAGAAAAAAAAATTCATAAGACAAAATGTAAATGAAAAATCCTTTAATTTTGGCAAAAAATACTACAAGATCAATTTGAAAACAAATCTAATATTATTAAAAAAAAATTCAATCTCAAATCACACTCAGTGTAAAAAATTAATTATAAAACACAATTCTAATTCTAAAAAGTTTTATACATATAGTGTGAACTTGCGTGCATGTGGAATTAGAAATTTCAGTATTAATCATAATAATAATAAATAGTAAAGCATAGATGTCGTATTTTTCTGTCCATTTTTAACTAAAATGTTATATCCTTTCTTTCGAGAAAAATAACTAAAATTTTATTTTTTTTTCTAAAACAACAAAGACAAGAGGATAGAAATATATAATTTTTTCTTTTTAGTTTTATAATTAAGTTGTAATTTAAAATTAACTTTTACGAATCGAGATAAAGTACGTATCTCTAATTTAATAATAATAATAATAAATCATCTATGTAAAAATTAAAAATACTATACAAAAGTTAGTGGTAGTTATGTCACTTTCTTTTTTCTTTGTGGATTAAAGGAAAAGGCAGAGTGGCACATTTGACAAAGATTGGATGACAAATCAAATTAAAAAAGAAAATCGCTTTGATTCTCCAACACCAATTTAAAATATAATACTACAAATTTATTGAGCTTTTGATACTATTGTTCTCACCTTTTTCAACAATGGTCACACTTTCTACGTCAATGTTCGGCTACATCAATAATAAATTGTTCTAAGAATCAACCATCAAGGGAAGAATAAGTGCTCTTTATTGGGAAAAAAAAAACATAAATAAATACTTTCATTTTCAATGATAAATAAATACTTTCAAGAATGAAGGAATGTCGTCAAATTGGGTTTAGGTGGGATGACATATCCTCCTCACCTATCCCAATTCCCATGTTAATCAGAAACATGGAGCGGGTAGTGACCTTTGCATCCATAAGAGATTGATTACGGGTTAAGATTTATTTGTCAACAGACGCTTTTTTTTTTAATATAATAATAAACAGAAACATATATCTAAAAATTAATAAAAAGAAAGGAAATTTCATATAAATATTGGCTTTCGTCGTAAATTCAACCATACATGGTAAAACATGCACATAAATTATAGCTCAATCGATATTAAAGTCTTCTATATTTTTAAAAAGATTTTGAGTTTTTCTCCTTTGTAATTAGGACAAAAAAAAAAAGATAAAAAAGACAAGATAAATCCAACAATTAATCTATTGTAAAAGGTTTAGTTTAAAAAGTAAGATTTAGTTACCCTCAACATCCTTTGCATCTCGTGTTTTGAAAACTTTATACTTTTCATCCTTCATTTTTAATTAAACGATTTTAAAAATATACTCTTCATATAAATTTGATATACTTAGATAAATTTAATACATTTTCATCGATATTAATCTTAAAATTTCAACCCAAAGGCTCAAGAAAGAAAACATACTTCTTTAACTATCATATTGATCCTATAGAATTATCAAGCAACTATCCATCACATCTATACTTATGTAGAAATGTTGATTTGTTGATTAATTTTCTCCTCCACAAACTTTAATTACTTCTACTTACCTTCACCAAATTCATAATGCTCCAAATCAGCATTTAAATCATCAATACTTAATACTCATAGATCATCAGCATACTCCACACAAATTGACAAATCATCAATATAGGATACGCAATCATCAATAATGTGCATAAATCGACAATCTAACTAGCAACAAATTATAAATTGAGTAAAAGCGTTAAGAGTAAATTATAACTTAGTCCCTTGTAATCTAACAAAATTAATTATTAATCCTTATAGTTTTATAAAATATACATTTTGTCCCTACTCTTAAATTTATTTACAATTTGATCTTTTTATCAATTCAATATTTTTTTTCTAATTTGTTTTTTTCATTGAAAATCAGATTAAACAAAAGAAAAGTAGGCAATATGTGAAATTTTATTAGGAAAGAATGCATGTTTGAAACAAAAAACTACTATTTGAAGATGGTCAACACCGGTCAAGATACTATTTAATAACTTTCAATACTATGATGCACTAATTAGTTAGCTTTGAAAAATTATAGGGACTAATTTGTAGTTAACTCAAACATGAAAGCAAGTACCACCAGATTCACATTAGCGGGTAAGTCACGTTCTTGTACTCCTAATATTTTTCCCCGCACCCACCGAAAGCATCAGTCAATTTCTCCTTCCACCACCATTCACCACCACCATAACCACCTACATATACATACAGTCACTTCTGTATCTATACATCTCTTTTTTCTCTATTTAAACACCTTTCCAAGCCTAGCCTAAGCTGCTCATTTGCCGCCTCTCTACAAAATTCCAAAAAAGATAAAAATAAAATTATATATATATGTTTTTTATGTTCTGAGATCCAAGAAAGGAAAATCTCAGATCTTTAAGTTGGTAGATTCATTTTAAGCTAATATTGTTTACCAATCTTATCTGATTCTCTCAGGTACATTCTTTTCTTTTCTGGGTTTCTTACTATTATTATTATTTTTATTATTTGTGGATATGCAGCTTAAAGTTTTATTTATTTTTTAATATTTTTATCAATAGTAGAGCTTGATATCTTTGATTTATATTGAGATAAATAGATCGATCCCGTGTAAAGTGATATGGGTTTTTTGAGAGTTGAATGGCAGATCTTGGATTGGGATTTAACAGATCCATTTTCTAGTACACGATTTATCTATGATTTTATTATATTAAAATTTTGTTGATTTGGACCTTGAGAATTGTACTGTTGGATCTTAAATAATGACATATGTGTGTTTCTGTGTGGGATTTTATACTGAAAGATTGTTTAATCATGAATTATGCAAGATTGGCCCTTTTTGGTTAATGTGATGATGATGATCATTTTGAATAAATTTGAAAATGTATGCCGTTCTTTTGTTTATTTATTGATTAGTGTGCTTGCGTTTCTTTTCTTTAGTCAACTCAACTCAACTAGTACTAAAATCAATTGAATGTGGTTGGCATCTTGAGACAATATGGTTTATATAAACAGTTCATTTCAAATTTTTAGTTTTTTTTTTTTTTTTTTTTTTTTTTTTTACCATATGATCAATTGAGGGTTTTGTTCAGTGGTCTAATTTTGAATTGAACTACTGTGGTTGAGCTGGGAGTGTCTGTTTGTAAACATGAGAAATGCTTCATGGCATTAATGGAGTTATATTGATCTTAATAGGCCCTAAATTATACTCAGAAGTTCATGGTTTTTGGTTTATTCTTATTGTCTGGGACTTTCAAGTTTTTTCTCGAACAACAATCATGTGGTTTGTTTGGGATTGCTATGTTTTTGGGTTTTACATGATATAAATGTTAAATTCTAATTTTCCCCCGAAAAATGTATGCAGCTTTTTCTCTTCGTCTTCCTCTTTATATTGAACATGTGGAGGTTCAAACATTTTACTCAAAAAGAACCAGCTGGCCTTGAAGGTCGCTATGTTGATGTTGGCAATCTTAAGATTCATATCCGAAATGCCATTGCGGAGGGTGGGTTTTCCTGTGTTTATTTAGCTCGAGATGCTGTGCATGCATCAAAGCAATATGCTTTAAAGCACATGATATGCAATGATGAGGAATTGTTGGAATTGGTGATGAAGGAGATCAATGTGATGAAAGTGCTCAAGGGGCATCCCAATGTTGTCACACTTTATGCACATACCATCTTAGATATGGGAAGGACGAAGGAAGCGCTCCTCGTAATGGAATTTTGCGAAAAATCTCTGGTTAATGTGCTGGAGAGTAGAGGAGCAGGATACTTTGAGGAAAAACAGGTCCTTTCCATATTTAGAGATGTCTGTAATGCTGTTTTTGCTATGCACTCTCAATCTCCGCCAATTGCTCACCGGTAAATTTCTAGGTTTAGCTCTAATGTCTGTTATTATGAATTCTTCTTTCCAAAAATATTCAATCTTTAAAGAATCTGCATTCTACTTTACAATGTTCTCTTAGACTGATGGTAGCTTATTGCTGTTTCTGGCTGCATTAATTTGATTCTTTGTCTGTAGTTTGGTTTTCTGTTTTCCATAGCTGAATGTAAATTATATGAATTTGCTTTCAAATACTTGTAGATATGAGAGAGCAATCGCTGAGGCTTGCCATATCCTATTACTTGCATCTGTGTTATTGCACCCAAAGAGACTGAGAATGTAATCTACAGTTTGATGAACACATTGAACTCAACAAGCCTTAGTTCAAAATTGTGTTAACAGCATCCTGCATGAATAATCTTTGTACCTTTCCAATTGCCTCATTTGATATTGCTAAGGAAGCTTTTAGCAACCAGTTCATTCTTTTTCACAATTTTCAGAGATTTGAAAGCTGAGAATCTTCTGCTGGGACCTGATGGATTGTGGAAATTGTGTGATTTTGGGAGCACTTCTACAAATCACAAACGCTTTGAGAAGCCTGAAGAAAGGGGTGTTGAAGAAGACAACATTCGGAAGCACACAACACCTGCCTATAGAGCCCCTGAGGTTTGAAGGAGATCTGTGCTTTGAAACAAAAATTTCTTACATTTTATGTTAAAAGTGTTTGATTTCTGTCTTTCCTCCTTTTCTTGACTTAGATGTGGGATCTGTTCCGGAGAGATCTTATAAATGAGAAGGTAGACATATGGGTAAGTGGATTGGACCTTATATTTCTGTTGAAATTCAGTAACCTTTAAATTTCCCTTCCCAGCTGATTCAAAGTTGCTCTGCTATTTTGCAGGCGCTTGGTTGTCTACTCTATCGCATATGTTACTTCAAGAGTGCATTTGATGGAGAATCAAAGCTGCAAATATTAAACGGGAACTATCGCATTCCAGATTTACCACAATACAGCTCGCCAGTGACAGACTTGATCAGAGACATGCTTCAAGCATCACCAGATGACCGACCAGACATCACGCAGGCAAGCGCTTTGCTTGATTGGAAATTCATCTCCATGAACTTAGGTTAGTTTTAGATCATTTACATCCAAGGCAGTTTCTGGTGCAGAGATTCTAACATTCTGCTTACTGATGCTGGGATTTTCCCATGGAAGCAGGTATGGTTTCGTGTTAATGAGCAGCTACCAGTTAATTTGCAGAAGTCGTTGCCTGATGGGCCACCTGAAACGCAATCTGTGGTTATACATGGAGGTGAGGGCATTTCCCATGGATAAATCAAAGTTTTGTTTTTCTGTAGAGTTATTTCCTTTCCCAGAACTGAGTTATCTGATATCTAGTTAAGTATCAGGTCTGAGCTTGGTTGAATTCATTCAGAACTTTCAAATTGAACTTGGTTCAATTCATCCATAACTTTTGAATTTTAAAATACTCAACATCTTGGTTACTATTTAGCAAAATTCTAAATTTTTAAATGTTTTATTTTTATTTGAATCATCAATTTGTTTTTGCTTAGACCTTGCTGAATATGGAAATGATTAATTTAATAGGTATTGCAAAAGCTGCAAATAGGTCACCTCCAATGCCCCAAAGAAGTCCACCACCTCCACCTTCATCTGGGGTTGGGGGAGGTGGGGGACAGCTTGGTGCTTTCTGGTCAACACAGCATGCAAAGGACTCATTGTTTGGCGAAGACAAGAACAGACCGAAATTCGATGAAGAACCTAGCCATAACACATCAAAACAAGATAGGAGTCAGCCAGAGAATCACAGTTTTCCCAAAAATACTAGCCCTGCAAAGCAGGAAAATGTACAGACCCATGTGGCTGGTAGGAGGAATGTGCATAATAGATCACATGTGCCCGAGGATGGTCCTTCCAAGGACTTTGAATCAACTTTTTCTCAGAAAGATATAGATTATGGCATGGAAAGGCCGAAAGCATCAAAACCAGCTGCGACATTTTTATTTCAAGATGAGGCTTTTAATACTTTTGTTGCTGAATTTGATAGCAATAAGCTCAACTCTAGACTGAGTAATGACAAAGGGGCAAAGGAAGAAACGTTAGAGGCTGAAGTAGAGAAGCTTAAAGAGCAGCTGAAGCAGGTAAACTCTGAGAAGGCTGAAATAACTTCGAAATTTGAAAAGCTGTCTGCCATTTGTCGATCTCAGAGACAGGAGATACAGGAGCTCAAGCAAACTCTGGCTGCTAGAACTCCTTCACCAAATAAATATCAAGCCTCATCTAGAATTCAACCATCTGAAAGTCCTCCGGTATTATTTTCATTGATTTTTTTTTCTACTGTATTTGCTGTACAGATTTGTTTGTCTATGTTTTTAACGATATTTATTCCCATCACAGCAAGAAAAATCTGACTGGAGTATCCCAAGCCCAGAGCCAAAGTCATGGCAAGCATTTGCAGATGATACCAAGTCACAACAGCAGCAGCATCTTTCAAAAGGCAACAGTCCACACTCTGTTAGAACCAGAAATGCACATCGGAATAAGCAGGCTACTGAATCAACGTCTGATTTTGATTCCTGGGGTTTTGGATCAGAGAGCTTTACAGCTGTCCCAGCCGCCAGCCCTCAAATTCCAGGGTCTAATACTGAAGTGCGCTTGGGTGGCTCAACAATTACAGAGAAACAGCCAGCGACGCAACCTGCTGGATGGGCTGGTTTCTAGCTCGAGTCATTTGTGAAACTATATAAGAAGGTATATTTACATTAGAACTATGACATTTTTCCTAAGAGATAAATATAGGGAAAAGTGAGAAATATATGGCTTTCTGGGCTTGTTTGTTGTATTGAGTGCTTCTGTTTGTAGATTCACATTTTTCTACAGAACATTTAAACATGTTCTCTGGACTAGAGGCAAACTACAAATATATACTTTTCTGCATGTCCCAATGGTTGGGAGAAAAATATTCGTCTGTTTATTGTTGCTATTGTTTGTTGTTGTAGCAAGCTGTTAGATTATTTTTTTCAATTATTATTTTTACTCTTTGGTGTGCAAAATGTGATTGTTGCTTCAATGTTGAGACTGAATATACAGTGGAAGGATTAACTTTTAGGAGGGGCTAGCTTTTAGTCTTCGATTTGGCCAATAGTGGCAATAACCTGGGTTTTGCATGTGAATGTTCTCTTTGGGTTGGAAGTAGTGATGCTATTTGTGCTTCTGTCCGTCAAGTACTCAAGTTATTAGGAGATGGAGGCCCTTGTTCGTTCTTTCCAAGTTAATGACGTTGTATGGAGGGCAGTTGGCAGGTCAGGAAGCAAGAATAATATGCCTAATGGTCTTTGAAAAACTCTTCGTTCCTTGATGTTTTCATCAAAAGGATGTATTTTGTTTTTTGGGTAAATTATTTTTTAGGGAAATAGTTAGTAAGTCCCGCTGATTTAAAAAGAGCTCCATATTGCACCAGTGTGATACTGGAGTGGCAAATCAGTCCAATCACTAAGGTGGCTTGCGAAACTGCGCTCTCTATACAATCTGGTTTAACCTTCAATTTTTTTTCTCGACGTAGAGATTGCAGAACTGCATGACTGAATTACGAAAGTCAGCTTCGACCATTTTAGAGGGATCTATTAACACTATAATCTCTCTGTGAAAACTATAAGCCCCACAAAATGAAGTAACCATTGCCAGTATCCAGTGAAATCTCGATTTCAACTTCCGTTGAAGTTTGGTTGTGGACAAGCGAGGATTCGAGCGATCACTAATTTAGTTGGATTTCTTTCCAAATTACCTTTTTTTATTTGCAATTTATTAATTGACGAAAACCTGAGGGGTATCCTGGTCTTTTCATAAAAAACTAACCGAGCTTTCAATAAATTGATGGTCATAGACCGTAAACCGTTTAAGCTATGATTTTTGGATCATCTTAAAATTGAGTGAACGAAAAATTCTTTTTATCATTTTTTGTGAGTTTGGATGTAATTCAATGTGTTTTTTCTTTTTCAAAATAGCTCTATGAAATAACTACTATACATATTATTAGTTCCTCCTTATGTATTATAAAATTTCTTCAAATTACAAACAATATATGCATCTCTGTAGTTTTTCAGAAATATGATCTAATAAAGATTATGTGATGCATTTTCTTATCATATGCAAATCTTTGACTTGCATATGTTTCTCCGCAGTTTTTGAGAAATACGATCGTAATTTCTTGGATGCTAGTTTGAATGAAGCATGCCTGGATATAACTGAGGTCTGCAAAGAAAGAGGCATGTCTGGCGGAGAAGTATGTTGATGGATTTTCTTCCCTTTGCTTTTCTATGGAATGCTGTCCTGCATTGTATAGTATTGACATACCTTTTTTTTTTTTTTAATTGTAATTGTGAAGATTGCTGAAGAACTTAGAAAAGGCGTTAACGAAGAGACTGGTCTGACATGTAGTACTGGATTACTTGCTAAGGTTCTTTCAGCTATTCCCTTATTTCATTGCAGTTTGCTTCCTGCATGGACTGGCATCTTCCCTTTTGCACAAGAGAACGGATGCCTCCATGGATAAAAACTATAGGACTATACTTGTTGATGAGAGATTAATTTAGTGGGTGACATATAATCATAAAAAATAAAAATGAATCAGTAGATGGGAAGCTATTTTAAAAATATTTATACTGATCAAATATAAATATAAATAGGGATGGCAATCCAACCCGCCCCGAAGTCGTTCCACCGCCCCGTCCCATTTAGGTCGGGGATGGAGTGTGAAATTTTGCTCCGAATGAGGCATTGGACGGAGATGGGTTTTTTTTTTTTTTTTTTGAGCGGGGTGAGAATGAGTATGACGATCCCCGTCCCGCTGCGTTTGGGGTGGAGATGGAGAGCAAAATTTCGCTCCTAACGGAGCACGGGACGGGATGGGGATGGCGATCCCAACCCCGGCCCATCCAATTGCCATCCCTAAATATAAAGGGAATATCTATATATTAAACACCGAGTGAATGAGATAATTCCAAGTTAGAATAAAAAAAATTAGTTCTAGCACATCCCTTAGGTAATAATCCTTTTTGTTTGAATTTGAAACTTGCACAAATTCATTCGTGATCATTAATAATTAAAATTCCGATATCATATCAAAAAATCATTTTAATCTAAAAAGCTAAACTATTATGTGATCCCTTATAAATACTTTTATGTTAATTTTTAAAATATGTATAAATAATGAGATATCCTCCTATGAGTTTTGATATTAATGGATACTAAATTCATTATTGTTTAAGGTCAAAAAATATATTATATGAAAAACAGGATCTTATCTCCGTGTAGCCACATGATACTACCCTATGTGATAAACAATATTGCCTTAAAAAATGTTCTCGTTGGAGGGCCCCATGACTCTCTCCCCTGCTTAGAACAATTTTTCAAAACAGAGAAGTTGCACCCAAAAGCAACGGTTGAGGGGTAAATTTTACCCTCCATCCAAGCAATTTTATTTTATTATTATTATTTTTTTTTGCGTCCCTCTTCCTTAGACTTAGATACATCAAATCAATTTTTAAATTATCTATGAATATACCAAAAATCCTTAAAAATAAATTTCGATACTATTAAAAATTAGTTATAATAATTATAACTAATTAGTTCTTTAGTGCCCTGAACTTATAGTAAATAGAGAAAAGCACTCAATTTTTTTTTTCAAAAAAAAATTAGAAATCCGAGTCTTAAACTTTCCGTTACCTAATTTCCGACCATGTTAAATACACGGGACAATACGTGTCCGGTCAACACGTGAAAAAAGACAATGCATTTAGACTAGGATTAAAATGACAAGACAACCCTCCACCCAAATTAAAAAGAAAAGTATATTTTTTATCTTCCCAAACATTGATATCATCAAAACCTTTGTTCTTTCCCTTCATTCTGACTTTTGTGGTCTTACATGAGAAGATGGTTGCGTAATCTTGCCTCGACCAGGACGTCCCATTACAAGTTGATGAAAAGATTTAAAACAAGAAGAAGGCAGTGAAACAATGAGTACAAGCAGAATCGCAGCAATCCATGCCAAGCCCAGTAACCAATCAAGACTAGTTTCCATCGTCCAATCAAACATGCTATCTTTGTCACATAGTGCAATCCACCACTATATATATTATATATATAAAAAATATGGTGCACTTCCTAGTTATAAATAAAAAATATAGGGATGGTTTTTGAAACCACAAGAACTAAGCTATTATGTCACTAAAAGTACGAGGACTAGATTTCACTTACTCTTGTTTTGAAACCACAAGGACTAAGCTATTATATCACTAAGTATTAGGAGAGTAGTATTTTAACTGAATTGCAACCGAAATACAAATTTGGTTTGTTTTTTTAGTTAAATTAGATTATAAAAAACCAAAAATCGAATTAATTTTAACTATTCGGATTCAATTTGGTTTTCATAGAAAATCGAATTATATATATATATATATTTTTTAATTTCAGAATTATATGTACATAATATGTTTTAATTTATTTTTATTTTTATTTGAATTTTGATAATTCAGCTTACAACCTATTTGAACAATCAATTTTTGGTGAGTTTAATTAACCAAAAACCAAAATGAAATATTAAAAACCGAAACCAGAAAACCAAAAACTCACCTCTAGAAATGGCTGCTATAGAAAAACTCATAAGAAGAGCCTTCATCTCCCAATACTCCCATTTCTTCTTGGTATCAGGACTATTTTTCAACCCTAAAATTTATGTTGAAATCAGGTGCCACATTTTAGATTCTGTTCTTACCATAAGAAATTAATACGCAACTTCGATTTTGTTTAGACGACTACTTATAATGAGAATTTTGAAGGACAGGATGTTGGTGTCATAAAAACATAAAATTAATTATAAACACTGAATTATTGAATTTTCATGTTCACGCCCTTTAATTGTCCAAACTTCTGCTGCATAACTGAAAATAAAAGCATTATGGTCTCTATGACACAAGAACTTAAACCAATAACTTTTCCATTGGCCATTTGGATAATCAGAAGAAATTAGAGGGGAAAGGGGAAAAGAAGAAGAAGAAGAAGAAGAAAAAAGCCTAACATTGTTAAGCAATAGAAGCTATTATTGCTTCATTTCTAAGCATGTTCATCTACCTTGTGCTTTATGAACTAACTTAAGCAGTTTTTTATTTTTTGGGAAAATAGAAAAAAACAATCAAGAATGAGATTCTTTGGGTGAAGTAAAATTGAAAAAAAAAAAAAAACCCATTTGTAAAAGGTCAATAAACAAGGCTTAATTTCATTTCCTGCCAACTCATTGATCTAGTAGTTGAGAAGATATATTCAATTTCTTGATATTGTAGATTGAAACTTCGGAACTTCGAAATACCAACTACTGTCAAATAAAATAATAATAATAAAAAAATTCAATTTCTTTCTCTCTTCCCTTTTGCAACAAATCTTTAAAATAACAAACATTAACTAAAAAAAAATCATTGGTTACTGTTTGTTACTATTTCAAACACTGTAAATTGTGAGATGATTCGTTGTGGATTTAGACTCATTTTCACTATTGGTTTCACTGTTTTCCTTCCCACCTCCCTTCTTTGCCGTTGCTCCTTGCGTGATCTCTGCTCCACCGTTGGATCAGGTACCAAACTAAGCCTAAGCTTACTAAACCGTAGATTTAGGATTGCTCAATTAGCTTAAAAGCCATCACGTTACCCAACATACTGAAAAGCATTGATGCTCTGATAAACACTATAAGTCAAAATAATCTGTGCAAGAAAAAGTAGAAAAAAAGAAAGAAAAGCTTAATAGTCTCTCGAGGAGACTAAATAATAAATTAGTCTTTTTAGTTTACAAAAAGAAATTAATTAGTTTTATTTGTTTTTAAATTAATTATTTAATATTTTGATCAACGTGTTGATCACGTTTAAGTTAATAATATTTTTATTTTACAAAATTTTTTTCTTATTGGTTTTTTTATATTTTTTTACTTATATTTTTATTTTTAAAAAATTTTTCGTTTCTCAAATTTGGAGAGTTGTTATAATTTACTCATATCAAGTTTCAAGAGCCATGACATTAAGCTGTATTGATTTTCTCATGATATTAAAAAGAAAAAAAAAAGAAGGGCAAACCATATTTTCATATATATAGAATCATCAATATTCTACTTTTATCTTTATAGTTTAAAATTTGTAATATTATGTTTATAATTCTTAGAAGAATTAAAATATAACTTTCACTTTGATTTTTTTAAAAAAAATTCATTTTTTTTTCATATTAATTTTTTGTCCCCTTTTTTTCCTTATAATATTTACATACATATAATAGATTCGATAAAAAAAACTTAAAAAATTAAGGAAAGATTCAAATGCAAATTATTTAATATTCAAAATTATAATTATTAAAAGCATATATATATATTAAAATTAACATATACTTTATCTTATATCACTTTTATTATTTAAATTTCGTTCTTTGAATTTATCATTTTCTTATGAAAATTCTCATTCAATTAATATTTTTTTATATAAAATTATATTTACTGATAAATATAATTTATTTTTTTTCTATATTTGAATTTTATTCTTAAAATTTTAAAACATGATTTTTTTTTCTTTTTTTAAAAATAAATTAGTATAATACATATCATGAATTCTTAGAATTTTTAAATGATAGTTGCACATATATATAAATATATAATTATTTTATTCTAGAAGATTAAAAGTGTATTTCAAATAATTTATCTCCTTTTACTAGGTATGGTCAAGACGTATAAAAAAACTATTAAATTATTAATTTTATTAAAAATTAACTATACATCTTCCAACATAATACAAATTAGTTACTATGAATATTATTTTAAAATTATAAAAAAAATTTATTTGAAATAAAATAACTAAAATAATTTTTTAAATGAGCCAACCGAGTTATTCAAATACGAGTTTTTATGCTAATTTTATTGATTATTTTGTAAATAAATATATAAAGATCAAATGCATATACTTAAAAAAAAAAAAAAAAATTTCTTCTTACTAACATTAAATAAGAAATTTTTTTTTTTCATTCGTTAATTTTTATGCAAGTCCATACATTAATTATAACTTTATTTTATGAATACATTTTCATAAAAAAACATTTTTTAAAGTATTTTTTAATTCTTAATTAATATTTCAGGTTTAAATTATTACAAGTTTTTATTTAAGAATCCTTTAATAAAAAAGAATAAGTCATGTTTTTTAAGTAGAAATTTTATTTATTTTTATTTTTTAACTCGCATGCCAAAGGCTCCTAAGAGAACACTACTTAGGACTTAAATTCATAACCTCTTATTGCAAAAGACTACTACAATTAAGCTACGAATTCTTTGGTGTAAGCAAAAATTTTATTAAAAAAAAAAAATACAATAAAATAAAAATAATTAAATAAAAAAATTAATGAAAAATTATAAAATTTTACAATGATTTTGTTCTGTTTGTCCTCGGCGTTTCGTGAATAATTTCAAAAATTAATCTTCTCATCGGCATTAAATGAAAATTTTTTTCAGTTGTTAATTTTTATAAAAAA